GGCGCCGAGCCACATTTACCTATTTTTGAGACAGAGTCTCACTTTCTCACACTGGTAGAGTGCCCTGGCGTCTCAGCTCACAGCAACCTCAAACTCTTGGGCTCAAGCAATCCTCTTGCCTCAGCCTCCTGAATAGCGACTACAGGAGCCCACCACAATACCAGGCTGATATCAAATTCATTAGATCAGGCAATCTACCTGCCTCCCAGAGTGCTAGGATTACAGGCATTAGTCACCGAATCCAGCTTTTTATTAATTTTAAATGAAGGAAATTTGCTTGTCCAATGTTAGCAGGATGTGAAGTGAGATACTTAAGGACAAAGTCCTCGAGGGCTTCCATCTTCAGTCCTCACTAGTGTCCTACCCCAGCCCAAGCATGGTTAATTCTGAAAGCTTGCAGAGATCAAAAGACAAGAAGATTCTTCCTCTTGCCAGTGCTTTCTCCTTACCAGCATTACACTCCAGGCTAATAAGCTCTGAAAGTCTCCATCTCTCCTTCTGGATAAGGTGATACTGACATCTGCTAGATCCTTCCCATAGCTCCCTGTCCCAAAGCCTTGTTGAGCTCTACAGAAAGGTGTTTCTCCCTTTCTGCTGAATTTCTCAAATCTATCTTGAGACCTGGGTTAGTAAAGATGTGGACAGAGGAGGCGAGGTCCCTTCAGAACTCTCTAGATTCCAGGTCTAGATCTACAATTCTCTTTAGGTCTGATCTGCACATTATACTCATGTTATCTCTCCTTCTTATAAGTTAGTAGAGAGAAAATTCTTGGTTGAGAGTCAGAAAACCTAAGGACTAGCTCCAGCTCTACCTCTAATTCACTGTATGAACCTGAACAATTCACTTCACCTTCCTGGACTTTAGTTTTCAGATCTGTAAAACAAGTGTGCTCATAACTGCTCTGAAGGATCAAATGAAACAGAGAAGAACAGGTTAACTATCTATTTAAATCTGTTGACTAGTTTGATATGAAGCAGTAAAGGAGTAATGAGGGGATGGTCTCTTTTAAAAACAATGAGCTGGGCCAGGCACCGTGGCTCACATCTATAATCCTAGCACTCTGGGAGGCTCAGGCCGACTGCTTGAGCTCAGGAGTTCAAGACCAGCCCAAGCAAAAGTTAAGACCTTTTGAGTCTCTACAAAAAATAGAAAAAAAAAAAAAAAAAACAAAAAAACAAAAAAACAACTAACCAGGTGTGGTGGCAGGTGCCGGTAGTCCCAGCTAATCAGGAAGCTGAGGCAAGAGGATGGCTTGAGTCCTGGAGTTTGAGGTTGTTGTGAGCTTTGACTCCATGCACTCTAACCACAGCAACAGAGTGACACTGTCTCAAAAACAAAACAAAACAGCAACAACAACAAAAAAACCAAACATAAGCTGTACTGCCTTTTCAGTTAAAACGATCTGCTAAGTGAAAGAATTTGCAAGAACTGCGGCAGACAGTGTTACTGTCTATACCGCCATCAAAAGATAGGCACCACTTGGTGTGTGACATACCTTTTGGGGGCAAAACACAGTAAGAGGGACTATGCCTAACAAATGCCAATCAATCAGTGTCATCTGGTTTCATGTACTGTCAATGAATCCCCAACAATAAAAAAAAGGACAGGCACCATCCAAGATTAGATAAACTCAAAAACTGGCTCAGCACCTGTGGCTCAAGCAGCTAA